GTCAAATTCTCGTCTTCCTAAGCTTTCCAACGTATCGAAGAAAATTTCGCCAATAATTCGCACTTAAAAACGCAACCAGAATCTTAATCTTTCACCAATCCGAAGTGTCCCAAACGACACCAAGGATAGCTCATGAAACAAGGATATCCCATGAAATTCTTAACCTTCGAGCGCGGAAATCTTAACGATCTTCTTACAATTAATATTTTTGCATTGCATCCCTCCCCTACTTGGGAAGTGACAAGCAAGAGACACGTTCACAACGCCTTTTGATTGGAAGAAGTAAAACCACATTCTATTGGTTAATAGTTGTGAGGACATAACTGCAACGGAAGACACAACTGCAACGCTACAACGTTTTGCCGCATAAATTTATTATTCCCGGTCATAGCCGACAAAAAAGGTTTGACAGATAACCCGTGACCCACACCGGACGTTAACTGTTCATAGGATATTTTTAAATGTGACCAATATGTTTGATGTTGATCGGCTTTATCTTATCTTGAGGTTTTTCCGGTTTGATAAACTGCCTTCCCTTCATCGAGATCATCTCGCTATCAAGAAGGTCACGCAACTCAAGATAAAATGAAAATTAAAAAAAAAAAAAAAAAGTTTTACTCGCTGCTAGCCAAAAAGAAATCCATAAACCTGTATATACTTGATAATCGTCAGTTTAGTCCTACTACTGAAAAACTCGACCACAGTTCCGAGGCCCGTTTGTGAGGGAAAGTTATAACTCGTTGAGTTGAGTTACAAGTGGCCCAGGAGACTAAACCATTTCAACCCTTTCAAAAGCTTTAACTATTTTCACGGTTTTGTTTAATTCCTTTCATTTAAGTTTTAATATTTTTTGTCCCTCTCCACATTCAGAACTCTCCATTATGAGAAACCGCATGCCGTCTGTGAGACGATGACTAATGACACTTCAATTTTGTTCGCTCTGTGTGGTGCATCGTGTCTGTGACAGGCAGCAGGCGTTAACAAAGCAATTCCAGCAACTCGTCATTGATAGCTCTCCTTCTCACACAATTAAGGTACGTACAATTAATTCAATTACAGTAATTTACTGTTGATGTTTCATGTAAACTGCAGCCTTACTTTTGAAGCGATCAGTTGTTGTGGTGAGGGGTTTTGTACGGTGGCCCACAGAAAACATTGGCTCAGATCATGGAACGTGTTCGATAAATCATATCACACGCTACAATCTTAGATCTTATTACGAACGAGTAGCGTTTAGTTTTTTGTCTAGAGAGGTAAACATGCCGAGTGGTAAACATGGCGCAAGTGAAGTTTGCTTGATTATATGATTTGTTGTTTGTCTGGGTGTAAAGACCATGAAACTTTCAGGGGAATTATTATAAGCTTTACGGTTTAATAATTCAAATGAAGAAGCGGCTAAACTGTCGCTTGTTTCCATCAACTTAACATATTTTATTATTCTTTTATGAGTTTAAACTCAGATGATTTCAATGACAAAGCTCTGATTATAGATATAAAAGCGAAACAAATGAGAAACCTATTGAGTAAATACTTTCAATACGATGGGTTCAAGTCAAACATATCAGTTGGTGGTCCGCCACGCGAGGCGTCGCGAGATAACCTTTCTTGACCCGTGACTCCGAATGTTACACGCGAGGTCCAGGTGCTACTGTGAGTGGTTGGCATCCATGGTGCGACTTTCTTTAAATATACCTCCCTTTCATCACGGCATAGGAAGATGTACTCATTCTGAAAATGCTCTGTACTTTTATACATCTCAAAATAAAGAAGATGTAAGAATTTGGCTCCCGCTTTCATCTATGATGTTGGCAGATTTCCTACTCGACCAATGAGGAGCAAGAGAATACTCACGTGGTTTCACTGATCAGAATGACAAACACGTGATCAGTATTCCATGCCCTTGGAAATGAAGGCGGGGAATGCTACTGAGCAGAATACGATGAAATGATTGACAGCTGTCAAGTTCTGAAGTGGTTACAGCTTAGCGTTCTTTCTTTCTTTGTGTCAGTTTCACAATTAAATTGTTTTCAATCGTCTCTGCAGTATCAGGTGAAAAACAGAAGTTAGACCAGGGAACTGACAAATCTCTTTACTCTTGAATCTGATCTGAATCTGCCGACACAGACTCTGCTCAAATTAAAACAGCAATGATTTATCCTTGACTTCTGACGTGAGTGAATGGGACCATCAGCGATGATATAACTTAGCCGCGCCGTGAGAGGGTACAATACTATCAGATTATATTAAAATATAAAACAATATTGAGACTTAATGATCAAACAAAGTTTTTCCTAGTTCTTAACTTAGTGCAGTTAAAAATGTGTAGCTCTCTTCAGTTGAAAGCTAAACCGTTTTGAGATCTTTCAAGTATGACTTAAAATCAGTTACTTCATGTTCTTATCTGTGTGTTGAGAAAAACATCGATATAGGAACTTATGACTTATTATAATTTTGACCCAAGTGTCGTCTTCAAAAACAATATTAATGATCAAGCTATGACCGTTTAAGACAGAATTGCATACATTATATTAGATGAAGTTGTCATTTCAAGAGCTTTGTTATCTCTTTTGCGAAAACTGGAAGCAACGTACATGAACATGTGCTCGTGTACCAAAAAAATATTTTCACGTTTTCTTTGACGTTTGTCTGATTTTTATTTTAAGGTGAAAAAGTTACAAAAGAACGATATCAGATGTAATGATTAGATTTTCAATTGTTCATGAGATCACGCTTTGGAATCTAGTGAGCAGTGATCAAACTTTCGATCAAATACCGATCGTCAAGTATGTATTGCAGGCCTGGAGAGCAGTTGTGATTTAATGAAATATTTATACTGGTTGTGATTTAAGGAAATATTTATACTGGTTTTAGTTTGATCTAAATTCACTTTTCTTATCATGAGGATTTCGACCTTCATTCTGCGCCAAGACTCAAAGGGCATATTTCGTTCAAACTCAACGGTGTTTGAAAATTCAGTTAAGAGAGATTTTCTAAATTCTGGATATGTATACTTATATTTGTCTACGATGTCCACTCGTCATATTAATGAGCTTTGCCTCGGCTGAATGAAATTAACATCCCGCTGTGCACATTTCTCGATATATTTCACCCGCCAGTGATTCCATATTCTACGTATTTTCTGTTGTAGTGTTTTAGTCGGCTAGTCATTGTTCCTTTTCGCTCATGAGTCCTTGGCAGATACGAGCTGCTTTGTTATCTTTTCGTTTCTGATGGTTAGGCTGTTTGCAGCGTGCAGCGTGCAGCGTGCAGCGTGCAGCGTGGGTAAAACAGAAAAATGTCCAGTAACATTAGAGAGCCACATGTAAAGTACATTTTGAGATGAGTAATATCGTACGTGGTTAGTTTTAACATATAGTTTAAGCCTTCTCCGCGTCTTTTTTTTTATCTGTCCCAGCAGGATTTCACTGAGATGATGAGATATTTTGTCAGACTTGGAATCAAGGTAGTAATATATATTTTTTGATTCTCATTTCTTTAGCTGTTACTTTATTTAAGTATTCAGGTCGTTTGTGTAAAATAAGGCAAGAAAAATTAACCTCATACAGGAGAATATGATCAGGTCTTATGGTGGATCTGTAAAACGAACAACTCGTCAGTTTCACTTTTTTCTTTTACTGATGGAGTACAAACATTTCAAATCTTGAAATATTAACAGTCATGTCATGATGAAAACAGCTGGTGATGATGAAAGCTTTATGTGGGCTTCCTTCGGGACCAACTGATCTTCCGTTCGACTTTGAATGTCTTATAAGAAACGAAAAATCTTACACAGAATTGTACTCCATTTTCATCAGATTTAATTGCGAAAGAGAATTCGAGAAAGCCAGTAAAAAAGTGTTATCACAACTCATGTTTCTTATTCAAAAACCTTGAAAAAACTTCAATTTTATGCCGGAATACTTGATATGGCTTCACACTGTGATATTTGGGAGTCAATGAAATCACATTGGAGGAGCAATGTTTGTGGGAAGCTAATGAGACCGTGGAGGTTTATGGTGTTTTCTTGTGTTTGCGTTCGGTAGAATTTTGAAGAGTTGGTAAAAATCTATAAGTATTTGTGTATTCTAAATGCGAAGTGTACATACTGATGTACTTGATCCCCCTTATCTCTCTAGGACGCATATTCATTTAAATCCTTTACTCTTCTGGACGATGAGAAACTGAATAAAGATAAAAATTTCAAATATAATGCCAATGGAAAGACAAAATGTTGTCAAAACGAAATTTCAAATCACTGAGAAGAAGTTAGGTGCAAGAAATCATCTGATTTCACAGATATGAGGTCTAGTCTACGAGTTTGGATGCAAAATATCCGTGCATTGACGTCATAACCGGTTGATTTTGGTCACTGTATGGTTAAA